GTGCTGGCGCTGCTCGGGGGCTGCCTGCTCCCCGTGTGCCGGACGCGCGTCTACACCAACCACTGGGCCGTCAAGATCGCCGGCGGCTTCCCCGAGGCCGACCGCATCGCCAGCAAGTACGGCTTCATCAACGTGGGGCAGGTAAGGACGCGCTGGGGCGCCCGGGAAGTCCTGGGGACCGGGGGGGGGGGGTCCGCCACCCCGCGCTTCTCGCCCCCTCCCGTCGGCTTCCTTCGCTTTTCCGACGTGCCCTGGCAGCGCTTCGCCCAAGTCCTGCCTGGTGCGTGCGCGCGCTGCCTGGGTCCCCCACACAAACCCACACTCCCCAAAGTTGCTAGGGGTCGTGTTGTCTGTATTGGGATTTTTAAAAAATTATATATATATACACACACTTATATCTATTTTTGCTCAATCCACGCGGGAGAGGTAGGGTTTCTGGAAAAATCCGCAGGGTGCCTGGCCCCGCGGTGGTCGCAGCCTTGACCTTTTGGCCTGGAAAGACAGGCGCGCCAATAGCCGGAGGAAAAGTGTCAGCGGTTGGTCGCCGGAGAGAAGGAAGTACGCTTTGGGGGGAAAGGAGTGAGCGCCCACGCCGGAACCCGTTATTTGGGGGGGGGGCATGCAGGGGATGAGGAGGGAGAGGATTGGAGCAGGCAGGGAAGCCTTCCTCCTTCCTGAGTTTAACCCACAAAGAAGTTTCCAGTTCTGGGGCGAGAGAGAGAGAACCGCCGGACACGTAGGAGAGCTGAAGGGGGGAGGCCGGGAGGCCTGGGGGCGGGGGGCGGGGGGCAGTGAGAAGGTCCGATCCAGAGTCCTGGCCGACTTCCTGGCTGGGCTTGCTCCAGACCTGCCGAGGGGTTCCCGGAAAGGTGATCGGACCCATAGGTGGGCGACTTTGGGGTCCCCACCCGCGGAAAGCAGCGACTCCTGGAGCCGGGCGGCGGCGCCGGAGGGCACGTAGGGAGGGCCGAGGGGCGCGGGGATTTTGTGGGGAGCCCCGTGGGTGGGAAAGGCCCTGTAACGGAGATGGTGTTCAAGGAATAGATGGAAGTGGGCCGACGCCCCCTAGTCTCAGGCTCCCTCCTCCCTCCCGCTGAGCTTCCACACTTGGTACTCGTTCGGGAAATGGAGAGGAGCGGATTGCGTAAGCGGTCCCGAGAATGTGTACCCCACTCTCCAGCCCTTCTCCAAGGCCCCTTTGGGGCTGAGCGGACTCTTACGGAGACCCTGCGGGCTACATCAGGCTCAGGGAGTCTTCCCCGCAAGCTCTCCAGGGACAGCCCAAGGTGCGGAGAGCGGCGGGAAGTGCTGGGCCGGCACTGCGCGTCCTGCGGGGTGCGGGCACCGGGAGGAGCCGGCTGGGGACGCTGGAGCAGGAGCCCAGGCTCTGTCTGCAGCTGTTGCGCTCGGCATCCAGGAACGCGAGCCTGGAAGTCCGGTGGTGGAGAAGCGCGGGAATTCAGCCTCTGCCCCTTTCCTTTCCTAGAGGTGGGAGCTGCCAAGGGTGGAGCTGGGGATGGTCTGCAGGGCTGGGAGGAGCACCCGCGCTAAATCTTGCACTTTGCCTGTCCCGAGGGAGGGCGAGTCTCAGAGGAGCTGGTCCTGTGGGAGACCCAGGCCAGGGCGAGGGGCGCGCGCTGCACTTTCTAACCCCTGGAAGGAAGAGAGGGAAGCTAGCTAGACCCCCCCAAGTGACTGTCATTAGCAGAAAAGTTCCCCTCGAATGCATGGCTTGTTGAGAGTCTGAAATGCAACCGCATCCGCTGCTGTTGAATTGGTTCCGGCTCATAGCGACCCAGTCTTGGGGAAGACAGCCTGAGAATCAGTAAAGAAGCTGGCTGCCACACCTTTCTCCCGCAGAGTGGCCGGTGGTTCCCACTGCCCACCGTTAGGGTTGCAGCCAAGCACTTAGCCGCTTCCCTGGAAGAATTCATTGGGGTCTTAACCTGATCTCTCTACTAGTCGGTGCTGTATTTGCTCAGAAACGTTACAGGGAAGGTTAATACTGCACGTATCTGTTAATCTTTCCAAACCATCTCTCTCGGGGTCAGCTGAAGTTGAGCATCTCCTAAGAATCAAGTATATTTGCAGAAATAAGTTCTTGAGCTGACACTCCATGTCGTACCCCCCACCCAGCCCCCACCATGCCCCATCCTCAAACCAACCTTATTTGGTGGTTGTCACATCACATACAGCAGACAAGGAAGCGGAGACTTTGAGAAGTCACTTGACTCACCTGCACAAGGCCACCTAGTCAGACAGTGGCCACGTCACGATTCAGACCTAGGACCCAGCCTTTCAGGACAAAATTCCATCCTTTGGTGGGAAAAGTAAAAATACCAATTTCCCTCAATTCTGGGTTAGTGGCTCATTTCCTCTGTAGATCAAAGAAGTGTAATGTTAAGTGTTTGGGGTGGTAAATTCCAGTTCACACTTGCAATATCATTGCACTGTAAGGGCCAAATGTATTTCTCATTCATCCTTTTATTGCTCTGACCTTTTAGCACTTTAGACATCTCTTTGTTATTCTTTCCACCAATAAGCCAGCTGCAGTTCAGCTGAGGATAGAAACTAATTTGCAGATCTGTGACTCTGTAAGCCATTTTTTTGTCATGGGCTCCCCACTACATGTATCAGGGACTGGAACTGAAACCTGTTGTTATTTCTGAGGTAATTTAATACATTGGCAATGTTTTTGTCACCATCAGAATTTGAGGTGAATTTCCCCCCACAGTCCAGCTAGAGGTTGATCAGCTACTTGATCTGGATGTAAGGTTTTGTGTGCATTTGAGCACAGCATCACCAGAGGTAATATTCATGACTTGGATTTTTCCACAGAAACCTGTAGGTGTGGGTGTCTCTACTGCTCAAGAGATGTGCACAATAATGCAAAAGCAAGCAAATAGGACGTGCTTGACTCTTGAGGGAGGAGCAATAATGAATATTGGCTGCATCTCCTTCCTTTGGTTGTAGAAGCACCCAACTTCAACTCCTGAGCCTGTAGGGCAGAGTGGAATTGCCCCCCAGAATTTCTGAGACTATGAATCTCATCTTCCTCCTGTGGAGCTACCAATGGATTCCAACTGTTGACCTTGTGATTGGAATAGTTTGCTTGGTGGTGGTGTCAGTGGTACAGTGCTTTGCCTTTTTGACTTACAATTTCTGACTTTGATTTGGTGTGACCAGCACTTGCTTGTTGGCCAAGCTCATGCCTATTGTCTGACCCTGGGATTGAAGGAGAGAAACGCAGCGTGTCTCTCACTGATCTTGTGTCCTGACCTTTCTTGCTAACCTTCTCCTGGTTAAAGAGTAGATGCTTGACATGATGGTCATTGTGAGCCTGCGTTTGGACTACATCTTCTACAAACCAGAAGGGAAGGAGCAGGAATCCTGGACAGACTGTCTGCAATGTGTAGTGGCTGTATTTATCCTTCTGTGAGTTGCTAATTCTGGATTCCAACTCTAAGGTAGCAAAAGTCCATTCCTGAGCGAAGTAAATTATCTTAAGAAGATTCCAGAAGGATAAAGCCAACTTTGCTAGCAATTCTGGGGAAATATTTAGCGGAAGCCGCATTGCAATCATCTGGACTTGGAAACTGAAGGTGCTACCTGGAGGATTTGTGAAGTCACTGAACTTAATTGCAGCCCCTGTTCCTTTACATCACGAGGAAGCTTTAAATCACCAAGCTGACTATATTGCTCAGCACGTGGCTAGGCTTTCAGTGAAAGGTTTGTGGATTCTGAATGAGCCTGAAAGACTGAAACAGATGAGATGGAAACTTATTAAGATGTGGGGGAACGAAGAAGAAATCTTTAAAAAATGGAAGGTGCAAAATATGAGGAAAATAAGCTTTTTTTTTTTTTTACTCAAAGCCAATCCAGAGATAGTGGACTGAGAAAATGGGTTTCCATCCCAACTTACAATTGAACATACTTTCAAAATAGTTTTATGTTGAAGTCTAAGCTAATTATGGCTAATTTCCTATGGCAGCGCTTTCTTCTCATGCTAATCCTTGATGTAGACCATTAAATATAAGATAAGCTTGATGGAGGAGGAAGTGGGGGGTAGGGAGAACCGGAAGACTAGTTTTATTCTAAAGCACCAACCTTCGTGAATGATGTTAAGTTTGGCTTTGTATTTTGTTCATTCTGAATGTGGGTTGTACCAGTAGGTGTCTTTTCCAAATCAGTAGGAAGAGATTTCTCAGTGGGAAGTACTTTGCTCTGTCCCCAGGCCTCCTCCCTTTCTGAATTTTGACCTGTGAGTCATGAAGGATGCTTGAAATGTTGATAAGAGGGGTGGGGTTAGGTGGGGCTAGGAGGGAGTCTGATGCTTGGAGATGGTATTTAAAACATGGGTTGTGCCTCCTGTGATGGGAGTGGGCTGTGCTTTTCTAGTAAAACCTTAGTTTGTAAACAGAAAGTAAAATGATTTGGAAGACCGAGGGTGATCCCCATAGAATAATTTGCTTTTGGACAGAGAAGCTCTTTAAACTCACGAACTTTGATTCTGATCCCAGCTAGCCACTATCTAACGAATATTTCTTATCACTAGAGGAAATGGAGGGAGATAAAGGGATCTTTTACTGGAAAAAGCCATTTGGAGTATGTGTCCTCCTGGTAGGGGGTCTGTTACTTTAACTTGATGGACCAAGAATGGCTTGTGTCTGGCCCTGGAGATTTTTGGAGGCCTGTTTGCAATGGAAAACGGCATTTTTGTGATCCCCAAGACTTATCTTTCTTGGGCATATAGCCAGAGGCCTTAACCTTAAAGATCAGCCAGAGAAGCAGGAAAGTTTCCAGCAAAGTCAGAATCTTTGGCTGAAGAAGGGAGGAGTCCAGACCCCAGAGACATCCCCTGGGCTGGGAGGAGCATTTGTGTTGTAGATTCTAGTGGAATGGAGCTGCTAAGGTTTTCCCCAAGCCTGAATGTCCACCAGCTCAGTTTGGCTTTGGAGTTTCATCACCCAAGCGCCTCAATTCAACTTCCTTGTTGGTGAAAGGGATGGTGTTCGATATCACTATATCTTTAAATGTGCATGGATGTGCAATATACAAAAAACAAACAGATGAAACAACTTAACTGCCATCAAGGCGAGGCCGAGTCAGAAACCCTATAGGACAGGGTGTAACTGCCCCTT